TATAGGTCCTTGATAGATTTATGATATTATTATTAATAACATCATTGACATTTTCAGACTATTAAATTATAGCCTCACAAAATTGAGTCGAGTATAATAAATGGATTTTTTTTTTCATATATGGTAAACCTCTCCAGGCTATATTACAAGCAACCAGAACTACCATTGACCCTAACTGACCCCAAAACTCCACTGTCATCACCACCACCACCATCATCATTAACACAGTCACCACCCTGCCATACCACCTAGGAGTGACAGCTGCATCCTCTTTTATTTAACCAAGTTACTTAAAGTTATGATTTTATTAAATGGCATGAAATTCTGACATATGGGACTGACATAGTTTGCTCTATCCTTCCTATCTTAATAAGGTCTAAAAAATACACATCATTTAAAATACTGTTGGTGAAGGCCAAACTTTCCTCATCATTCCTAATAATATTCTCCGAGGTACAGAATTCAGCAATTACGCTTTTCTCCCTCATGAGACCAAGACGATCATAAAGGAGCTTCCCTTAAATTCCAGTCCACCTAAGTCCTCCAATTCCAGGAGACAGGGTAAAGACCTTTTAGGATGGTGGACAGAACAGCTCAGACACACTTATTTTTTTTTTCAAATGACATTATTCACCAATTGACTGAAAGCATTTAAAATATAAAACTACTCAATGACTTTGACGAAGTGCCTTCTGTGAAATCCTGTGCCTTTCACTTTGGTTGGTTCCCATTCAAGTGGCTATATTTTTTATTTATATAGCGTCTTTCCCTGGAGCATGCATTTTGATCCCAAACAAGTGCCCAGGTTTTCCTTTCTTAGGTAAGCAAACTGAGACTTATCATTAAACCAAAGAACATACTTGCTCCTCTTTAAAGTCTCCTGGAAAAGGAAGGAGCACACTCAGAGTGCTGCTTTTTCAACTAAGATCATCTAAATTTACATTAAAAATAATACTGAAGGCCCAGGGAGGAGTGAGACGTCTTAATTTTATGTACACTCTGGAGTTGAGAAAAATACAATTAAAATTCATTTATTTCCTTATGTGAAAATTTTTTTCACATAATCAGTCTGAATCAGATTTTTAGAATCGGATACGTTCTAAAAATGCATCTATAAAATAAATGTTCCTTAGAATAACCCTGGTTGCAAACAAATGTTGCAGATGGAATAAAGATTTTTACCTAAATTTGGCACCCAGAGGAAAATATTTCACAATATCATCACTCTATATTCATAGCAAAACTTCTGACCACTTAAATCTGTTCTTCTCTTCTGCTTTTTTTAGAGTAAGAAAGCACCAGCACAAATATTAGCATTGGGATAAAGTAATAAAAATATCTAATATTTGTATAGTTATATACTACTTTTATATATTCAGTCTCCCCTGATAAAGATTACTATTTTCTCATCGTTAATGGGAAATCGGACTTGTCTTTTACAGTTTTTCCTGCTTTCTATTGTGCCTGCCATTGGTGATTTCTTGCCCCCTGTCTTTTATATCCTTAAATGTATAAGAAACCAAAAATCTTCAACCTGAATTTTCTCAAATTATAAATGTCATAGCCTAAATATATCCACAAAAGTAAATAACAAACAATTATAGCCAGGGATCCAAATTAACAGAGTGTGAGAAAGAAGATTAGAATAAGTGGCAATTATCCTTCACGAGCTTTCTACCAAACAGGCACAAGCCACATGGAGTAGGTGAAAATGAAATGGAGATTGGAGATGTGATTCCGTTTTCATCCGAACATCCACTCATTCCCGAGGCAGTATGTGTCAGGTAATCAGTAGCAATTTAAATGAATGAAAAAAGTAAGAACAGAAAGAAAAGGAGCTGAAATAGCATCTAAGCACAAGGGAAGAATTACTGAAAACTTGAACATTAGCCACTCAAAAGAAGTAAGCAATGTTCAGCCTTTAGAAATACTGAGTAATAAAACTGAAATAAGCATGCAGCATTAAATGTCTACTTTGAATTTTTAAAAAAAAACAGTGTCAATTTTTTCATTTTTAGTTGCATTTGAAATCCCTAAGCCATTGGCACCTTAAAGAAGAACTCAAGATCAGAGGCCTTCGTCATGAAATTTTAGGTAAGACACATCTTGCAAAATCACAGCTTGTCTGTGAACAAACTAATTATCTCTTAATAACTATTTGTTGGGAAGTGCAATAATCCTTCTCATATTATTATGTGACCTGTGCAATTTTACCTGTTACTTTTCTTCATACATAAATGTGGTTGTTTATGGTGGCCAAGAAAGAAAGTAATCATAGCATCTTAATGCTGAATAATGTGAACTTCACACAAGCTCACTGAACATCCCAGGGGGACATTCATGTGGATAGTGCAAACTGTACCCCATGGTGCTGTTCACCATTCTACAAATGGAAAGTTAAGAATCAGAAATAGCAAACCTTAGTCTAACTGACCTAAATATACCAGCCTAATGTATAAGTGAAAAATAAAATGAAGACAATCAAATAAGTGTTTTGGTTTGTGTAGATAAAACCGCAGCCACTGCCTCAATTTTCTGTTTTTACTGAACATAACCCTTGAAGCCTGTATCTTCCAAATTTCTTTGACTGCAACCCACAGTAACAAATATATTTTACATCACAATTGGCACACGTAGCACATAAAATTACCACAAATTTACATGGAACAAAACTTACCCTCGCGAAATATCATGTACTCTAATATTTTTCTGACTTATTCCTTTAATAATGAATTGACTTAATAAACTAATTTTTTGATCTACTGTGTCATGACAAGTAGTTGAAAACACTGCTTTCCAAAACTTTTAAGAACTACTTAAGAAAATTAAAGGTTTTTAAAAGAGCCTAATCATTTTTTTTTCTTTCTATCCAAAGTTATCCAAACAGGAAAACTGATAAGAAAAGAAAATATATTAAATAGCATCTGTGCATTTGAAGTAACTAGCACAGACAACTCCTTCCCTCCATGGGTAATAAGAGGCAAACCACACAGAAAAAAAAAAAAAAAATTCCAAAACTGAGTTTCCCAAGGGAATTGAATTTCTGTGAGTATTTTACTTTAAAAAGATTTTTTGTCATTTTTTTATTATTCTAAAAGTATTTGGATATTGTTTAACGAAAAAAGTTTAAGATGGGGCATATTATAGTGACATTATTTGCCACTTGGATGATGAGCAGTTTTGAATAAAATGTGGTCCCCTCTTTATTTGACCATGCTCACTTTGTAATTATTAGCAAGGCAGCAATAATCCACCAAGGAGCAGTCTCATTAGTGCCCATTGAAATTCAGTGGCATTCATTTGCAATAAAAGAACTGAAAATTAAATGGAAAAGAAAACAGTTTCAGGAGTCCACCATAAGGTTATGGAATTCATATGCTACCAATACCTTCCTTCACATCATGAAGTTTAAAATGCTGTGGGAATTAGAATTAATCGCTATATTTTGTTCTTCCAGTTGAAAAAAGTGGGCAGAAGAAATGGTTTTTTCTCTCCCCCCCCCTCCTCTCTCTCTCCAGTTTAACCCTGGATTAAAACAGGTAAATTAATTTCAGTTCAGCAACTCCAAGTTTTGTTCGTTGTTCATCTTTTAAGAAATAATTCAGCCTAGACCTGCTTGGTTGTGGAATGAGCCAGATTTCTCTAACGGAGATAAAGATGTATCCTTGGATACCCCAAGAGTCTGCTCTCCAGTATCCTCGGGTGCCAACCTGCTCCTTAGTCCAGTTTCTTCTGCTATAAATACCTCTGGGAAAGGAACACTGAGCAGAAAATGGTCCAGAGCTTGCACTGCAGGAGGACTGGGCCAGCACAGCAGAAGGCTCCAGACACCAGTGTACAGTGGCAAAGTGCCTAATGTGGGCACCCTGAAGTCTCCCAAACGGACCCAGCTCTCTCTGTCCTCCCATACCTGTATTTACCAGAAAGGCCCACCCAAGCTCTCTATGGGCCCTCTGTAGAGGAAGGGGAACTGCTCAAGGGAAAATGAAAGGTAATGGGGAGGCAGGAGAAGCAATCTCTATTAGGAGATAATAAAGCCACAAAACAATCACCACTCAGGTCACAAGGAGTTTCCCCTGTGTTGTGCACTGCCAGGGTTTCTTGCACAAGACGAAAAAGGCGACGACCCCCGCTGACCCCGCACCAGCCCAGGGGCATTCTATGCCTGGCAGAACAGATGTGTCATTTAGCAGGCAGGAGATTATTTTGAATCACTGGTGTTTCAATATGGCATGGTTTAAGTTTACAGGACACCTATAAATTTCCGGCTGTCAAAAGTCACATGCCAGCAATCTGCTCCAACACGGAATCAGCCAGAAACTCAGTCAGAAATCAGAAAATTGTTGAGACTCATTCAACTCTTGTATGAATCTTCTGAGCAGCGCGATTCCATCCAAAACCCTTCGAAACTAGGATGCAGAGGAAGGGTGAAGTGGATGATAAGAATCGCTTCCCCAAAATCACCATCATACCTTGCATATTCCAAATTCATGATTCTAGATAAAAGAAAATTTTACTGGCATATTAAAGTAAAATAATAATAATAATAATAATAATAATAATAAATTTTTTAAAAACTTTCCTGAGTTCCACTCACCCCAAATACCTCCAACTTTAAATAGTAAAGCAGGACCTTTACTAGTGACTCAAAGTGCCTTGAGTTTATTTGCTTTGGGGTATTTAGCCCCCACAAATAACTGCTGCTTTGTATAATTTTCCAAAACATGTTTAGTTAGGCACACGGGCTTTGGGATCCGCCTCTCACGGAGACCATAGGAGGGTGGAGAACAACTGTTTTTTAAGTACCAAAGTACAGACCCCGGGTTCCGCAAACAACCCCAGGGCTCCCGCCCTTGCAGCCCAAAGAGCTCCAGCCTGCATCCCACTGGTGGCCTCGGGCGAGCTGGGACCCGCGCGGGTGCCCGCAGGCTCCCCACTTCCCATCCCGCAGGGCGCGCACCGGCCACCCGACTTGATGCAACGCGGCGCGACGCGGGTACCTGTAGAACGCGGGCGGGCCGGCCTCGCGCACCGCGTAGGTGCTGGGCTCGTTCTCCAGGTAATAGGGCACCTGTTGGCCGTGGGGGTGCAGGAAGGGCGATAGCTGCGGCGGCGGGTGCAGCAGCATCAGCGGGCTCGGAGACACGCTGTTGAGCTGGGGGAAGCCCCCGAGGTTGTTGGCGCCGAACGTCGCCTCCGACCCGGGGCCGTAGGCGATGCCCGACTGGCCGTAGACCGGCGCGGAGGCGGCGGAGGCGTTGAACTCGTACGCGGCGCCCTCGGGGTAGTTGAACACCGCGGGCTTGCTGCTGTCCACGTACACCTCACCCAGGGGCCGCTCCAAGGGTATCTTGAGCTGCGGGCGGTTTAGGGGCTCCAGCTCGCTCCCTTGGATCTGGTGCAGCAAGGCCATTCCTGATGCTTTGGTGTGGAGAGTCATGGTCATGGTCGGTGACCGCGGGGCAAGGCGCAGACTGTCTCCCTGGGCGACAGAGGGCTTAGCAGCCGGTGGGCCACCTGGAAAAAGAGCACAGTCCGCGGTTAGAGGTGGTGCGGCTCATGTCCTGAGGCGACTGGAACTCCCGGCCTGGCCCTGCCCCGGGGGCCGACCGTGGAGCCCAGTGGCCAAACTCTGGCCAAACTCCAGCAAGTGCAACCCTGGTGCGAACGCGCCCCGCCAGCTCCGGGTCTCCCTAGTCTCTAACTTTAAGTACAGGTCTCCTTTGCTTACAAGTGTTACAAAGGTGCTGGAATCCCGCCAGGGACCACTGCCTCTCACTGACACTGGTTCAAACATCACTCCAGGCCCCGCTCCTTCTGGAGCAACCCCAAAGAGCCGCTTCCCAGAACTTAACTTTACTTGTGGTCGCTGCTGAATGAAGGCTGAATTTCACCGTAAGGGCATGGGGACGCCGAGGGATCTCCTAAATGTGGCTCAGGGAAGACGAGGGTTAAAACAGAAGCAGAAGACTAAGCCAGGGGCCAGCTTTTTCTAAAGTGCTGCCTGATGTGCCCATGCCAGGCTCCAATCTATCTCTGTTTGTCTTTCTATTTGATTCACTCTCCTTGTTGGCTAGAAATATGTAGTGTGTACATAGAATGACCCTGGGGAGGACTGCTCTGTAACTGAGATATGGTAGATAGGATGGAGTGTGCAGTTGCATATGCAGCCAGCCACAGCCGGCTATATTTAGCAGCTGAAGGAACTGATAGGAGGCATGTAGGGGCAAGGAGAGTGGAGATGCAAGGTGTACTTATAGGAAGAACTGCTTTCTGCAGGCAGGAGAATCCTACCGCGCTTCAGTTTTTCATCTGCTGAAAGCTTCTGACAAGGTCCTTTCCAGACACAACCTCTGAGACTCTCCCAGCCTGACTTTTCTATTTATGTTGGACCACTGGTGCTGTACTTGCTCCCTTTAGAAATTCTCATGTGAATGATGATTCAGAAAAACCTTTGGTTAGGCACAAATGGGTGTGCATGCCTTCCACAGGTTATGCAACCAAAACTTCAGAAAACTGAATATGCAATGCAACCTTTCCCCACAAAACATAACCTCTCAGAGGTCACTAGCTAAAGCTTTAGCAGTTATGTTACACTGTCCATCTAACCAGCAATTTTAAAATGCATTTCTGCATTTCATCTCTTTAGTCCTACAGCTGGACTTTCTGGGTCCACTTGGGCTGGAAAATGCAGAAGCAAATATCCAAATGAAAAAGAAATAGAAACAATTTTTGAACTCAACTGAATTAAAGCTAAGCCACCCCGCTTGCACTCACACACACGTGCACACATGCACACACAGTCCTATTAATGAGATAAAATATCTGGTCAAGTATATCATAATCCATAGTCTTGATTAGTTTATACTTCTTAATAAACTTCCTTTGCTACAGCCTAATAGCCTCCGATATAGCCATTAATACTTTACCTTAATTGCTATCTCAAATGCCCAAAAGAGTAACTGACAAAATGTTCATGGCATATATAAATGCCAAGGTTGCTGTTACTAATGGTAACATTCATAATATTTTATACTAAGTACACATTTTTATCTAATTCTTGCAAAAACAGATCAATTTTGGATGATATGTAGATGAACTGATTTAATATGAAACCAAAATTGAGTTTAGCATCAATAACTATAGATCATAAGCAGAGAAAGGGTTAAAAACACATTAGGTGAATTGCAGATATTTCTCTCTTTATGGCCAGCAACAATTACTTTCCAGAGCAATTTTTTTTTACAGATGATTTAGTTTCCGTAAATCACACTTTCAATTTTCAAATGCCTTCTTTACAACACATGCAAAAGCACTTCATGGGGCTCTTTAAAAATCTGAGCCTGCCAAATTATATATATAAATGGCACAAAGAATACTACAACTCCTGAAAGAAAAGGGAGCCGCACACATCCCCCCCCCCCCATGGAAAAACGGCACATCCTCATCTCCCAGCTAGGATACAGACGCTGGCCAGAAAGGTAAGTTGCTTTCTCAAAATGCTCAAAAGAGAGAGAAAGAGAGAGAGAGAGAGAGAGAGAGAGAGAGAGAGAGAGAGAGAGAGAAATCAAAACAATCCTACCCTGCTGCTGGATCAAGAGTGTCTTTCCAGAAATGTTCCATGAGCTTGTAGAAGTCAAGGGCCGAGACGGTAAGAAGGGAGGAAGGAATGTGCTCGCATGTTCGAGTGGCTCGGTGTGTGATCAAGGCAGAGCGTGTGTGGATGTGTTTGTGTGTGGAATGGCAGGGACTCGGGAAGCAGCCAGTAGGCAGGGCACTTGGCAGCCCCTCCCGGCAGACGCGGCAGCTGGGCTGCTGAACAGAGCTGGATGAATGGCAGTGGGGAGTGAGGGAGGCTTGCTGTCTGCTGGGGACAGCAGTGTGGCATAGCTAGAGTGTGTCTCCCTGGGGAAAAGAAACTCCAGCCCCCTCTGCTCTCTACTTGTGTCCCAAGCTTTCTGCCATCGTCACCCTACGCAAGAGGGAAACCAGCCTAGCTGTAAATCATAGGCTTATGGCGAAAATAGAATGCCCATCAAAAGTGTATAGAGATCAAGTTTACAAAATGTGCCAGGGGTGGTTTTTTTTTTTTTTCTGAAGAATATAATTTAACAAGAAAAGCTTCCTGGAATACACTTGGATCAAATGCCTTACTGGTCCCAGCCCCACACATCTCTGAGTAGCCACACTATTGCCAAGCCTCTAGTGGCACAAGGAAATCAGACTTTGAAATAAATGTCTTGGCATTCCAGGGATACGTTTGCAGCTGAAAAGTAATACTCCTCCACCTCGTTAACCAAACCCACGAAACTCTCTACCAATATCTCCTTGACTGCTTCCTGTAAACATGTGAAAAATGTATTAAGTCTGAGGGTATGAAGATAAGACCAAGGTAGGACCTTTGTTTTAACTGATTTTAAGCTTTTAGTTGTACTGGCATTGACTGTAGGCAGGGGTCTTACTTTTCCTGACAGTGCCCTCATGCGTCCGCCTGATTCTCAACATTTCTCCTGACCAGGGAGCAAGAGTTGGGGTAAGGTTCTCCTAGTGTGCCCTCCCCCAGGGTCCCAGGACACATGACGCCTAGTAGTGCCCTCATTGCCAGACATTTGTCACTGCCTTGGGTATTAAATAACTCTAATCACAATGCCAGGAGTGGCTAGTCTCTGGTTTTAGGAACCTGTGCAGTTACCAAGAGATTTATGAGTGGCTCTTAAAACTAGTACAAATAAAAAAGTAGAAAGTTTTTTTTTTAAAAAAAGGCTAATTATGTCGTAATGCAAATATATATTTTTTGTGAGTGCTTTGAAAAACCCAAAATAATGCAATATTGGAACACAGAAGAGTTCCCTTTGCAATTAGCAATGACAATAAATATTGAACATAAATAAATACTGAAGACTAGGGATGTAACTCAGCAGTAGAGCACTTGCATAGCATGTAGGATGCCCTGGGTTCAACCCCCAGCACCACAAAAATCTAAAAAATTATAATGAAAAGAAAGATTATTATCCTTTGTCGGTGACAGTGGTGAATCCTGGTGACAGTACCTCCTCTCATAGGTCAACAATGGTCACGTATTCACTAGGCCAGTCCAAAATAAAACAAGTAAATGCAAGAGGGACAGAAAGGAGAAGGGAAGGGAGGGGAGGGGAAGTGAGAAGAGAGTGGAGATGAGGAAAAAAAAAAGAAAAGAGGAAATAAGAAAGGAAGGAGGAAGGGAAAGAGAACCTGCAAATGTTCACCTTGAACACAGGAGGGATAAGAAGCCTAGCTGTCTTCTCAGAGACTCTGAATCTGCAGAGACTTGTGATCAAAGTCTGACATGTCCAATAAAGACAGTTTTCTTGACCCCTTTCTTTCCAGTAATTTCTGTCAACATCCTGATCAGTTTGGTCTGCCATGTTGGGTGATGGTGGGTAGGAAAGCATGGTGCCCGGGAGCCCAATATGGACTTTCCTCTAGTGGCTCTGGCTCCAACTTTCTCTCCTTTCCTATCACCTCTCATGTGGGACACACAGCCCTGCATGACTGACTGACTGACCAGGTAAAGTCTACTTCTCTAGAGCCACTGCCCAGTGTATCTCCAGACCCGCTTTTCCAATCATCTCCCAAGCTCTCATTCTCTCTCCTCCGACATGGTCACCCCCCTCCTCCAACTTCCCTTTGTGTACAGCATCACCGTCCCTCTGGTCACCAGATTAAAATTCTAGCATTTTCCTTTGAGGCCTGACTTTCCATTACCTTTCATATGGGATCAAGAAGTAGTTCCCAAGCAATCTAACTTAGCCACTTCTGCTCATCATTGCATTGCCATCGCCCCTTTTCCATCCCTCCTGGCCTTACCTGTGCCAAGTGCCTCCTAAAGACCTTTTCTGCCTCTTCCTTCTCCCTGTTTTTCCTGAATTCTGCTGCGGATTTATTTTCTTGAGTTTTTTAACCCAGATCCCAGCTTCCCCAGGAATTCCAGACATCTCTTCTCCATCGCCATCCTTTCTAGTCTGGTGGCTTCGGTGTGTGACCCGTGCTTCAGCCAAATGAAAGTATAATACTCCAAGACCCCCAAATTTTTCTGTCTAGAACCCCCACCTTCCTGACTTGTCAGGGAAAAGCATCTCCTTTTTTAAGGTCCAGTCTCAATGCCACTGAATCCATGGTACCTTCCTCTATTATCCAAAGAGAATTCCTGTCCTCTGAGCTCCAGGGGTAGTTCTTGTGCAGTTAACCCATTCTTCCTTGAATCAGTTATTTATATAAATATAATTTTTAACCTTTTACTCAGAAGCTCCTTGAGGACAAGTTCTAGCTAGAAATATTTGGGAATTTGAGAGCCTAAAATGGTGTTTGATCATTATTAAGTCATTAAACATCAGCTAGTTAATTACTACAGATACTTCCGAGGATAAAATAATATCCCATCTGTCAGAATAACGGTGTCTAAAAACTAACTTTCTAAGTGATGTCCTACCACTTTCAAAACTGTTTTTTGCTATAAAAACTGTTTTTTGCTATATAAC